TTTATCTGCTTTTCTATAAGGACTTTTATTGGTTCCTGCTAAGTAATGGCACATATTGGCAGTCATACTGGTTTGATCCACTAGATTGAGGACTCTGGAGGCATCGTTAGTGATTTGGGCACATTTATTTTTCATGCTGAGTTTAGCATGCTTTCTTAGTGAATGAAAAGCTGAAGAAGAAAATATGCACAGCTAGAATGACCGAGAAGAGGCTGAGTCCACATCCATTTGTTTTCAAAACCTGCCTCCCCCTTGAGGCATGATCTTCTATGTAGCCCCTTCCAGGGTAGCCCCATCCCCACCCCTCCAATCTGTCTACATCCTGTGTTCTAAGATTGGTCATGCACTACTATACCTGGAAAATCAAAACTATACACCCCGCTCCCCAAAGGTTCATTAGAATGTTTGAGACATTAATGTCTGTCTCAAATAAAGAAAACCTATGAGCTTTGTTCTCTAAGAGCATATATCCTAAAGGAGTGACAGGAGCTGAGATTGTTCTTCATGTGAGGCACTGTAGTGTGCTTGGCTTTGTGGAGGATGCTGAAGACTGGGTTTTGCTCAGAATAATCATATCATACAAGGTTGGAAACACAGACAAGAGACTCCTGCACAAGCTTCATTTTCAGGGTGAAGAAATTTTGGTTAAGGGAGAACATCTTGCCCAAGGCCACTAAGCTAAATATGGGAGCATAGCTTTGGTGGGGGTAATTATCAAATCAAATAGAAAGGGAAGCAATGCACTAAAAACTTTCCACAAAGCACCTCCCTGGAAACCTAGCATTTTAAGCCATTAGTAGGTAGTACAATGCCACCCACAGAAGGTAAAAGAGGATGATAAACCCATCTGGCATAAGTCAGCTCTAGAATGACACATAAGATGGACATGGAGGCATTGTTTGTAGAGTTTTTAGCCTCAAAGGGTGGACTCTGGCAGTCCATATAAGCTAGGCTCTGCCACCCCATCCCCAGTATTTCAACAAAGAAACAGGTAATAGGGGACAGCAGGGATAGATTTATTCATTGTGGCCCCATTAGGAAGAACAAATAGAGACCCAGTACCACCCAGTCTGTCTCCCAGGCACTAATAGAGGTTTTTGTTTATAAGTAGAGAGCAAGAGGTATGCATAATTAATAGTCCTGGCCAAGTCTCTGTCATGGTCTCTGATGCAAATCTGTCCTAAGAAGTGGTCTGATATCTCTTCCCAGGAGTCTTTTTTTTTTTTTTTTTCTCTCTCTCTCCCCTCTCCTGGCACTAGGACATCAGCTTTTTTCTTCCACCAGCATGGGATGCCTGGGGAAAATTTAATTGTTTGGAATCCATTATTCCAATAGTCTTACAGCACGACAGTGGGATTAAGAATTCAAGGCTAGCCTTATCTACACAGGAAGTTTCAGGTCAGCCTAGGTCACATGAAACCCTATCATCTCATAAACTGAACTGAGGCTCTGTTTAGGTCACACTTGTGAATTATTTTGTTCACACCTAAGTGCTGAAGAGTCCTAAGACCTTCAAACTCTGGTCAGAGGGTCAGAGATGGGCAAGAAGGAGAGGTGGGCATTTCAATTCAGCTTTTCAATGTTGCCTAAAACGGTCATGGTGACACTTTCCAGCTCCGAGCATAAGTTGGGCTCCAGATCTTGCCAGTATTTTAGTATCAGAGCCCAAATAGGTTCAAGTAAAAAGGATACTTCCTGTGCTGTTGGGAGTACTGAGCAAGGCTCAGGAAGCTAGGCAATCCACCCAATTATCCACCGACACCTTCTTTATCCTTTCGTCACTGTTTTATTATTATTATTATTATTATTATTATTATTATTATTATTATTATTGGTAAGTTTTATTCAGTTACTTTGGGACGGGGTTGTGAATCAGAGGTTGGTATCAAAACCAGAATAGAAGTCACAGTTTTCCCTTGGGATTCTACTCCTGGCTTCGAATCCCCAGATCACAAAACTTTCTAATTGGAAAGAAGGGCTCGTAAACAATTACAGGGATTTGTTGGCTCTCGACACTGACTAAAAAGGGCGGTCTAAGGACTGTCTGATGAAAGAGAAGTTGGATTCACATGTCAAAGTGAAATTTTAAAAGCATTTCCACCCCGAGGTTTACTGCTGAATGTAAATTGGGCAATCCAAGCCCAATCCCCTGCAGATACTCCTAAACTAATTAACTCTGAAACGACATTCAAGCAGTCTTCCCCCAAATGCCTTTGTTTTCTGAGAGATTTTATTGACAAGCTGACTCACGAAGTTCCTGTGTAAACTGACTTTCTCACCCCTCAGCCTGCAGACCAATGGAAGGCCAGTTTTATATCTTCGCTATAGCCGGCATTGAGTAGACCTTACATTGTATTCACCTGTGGACCAAATGGCTCGCACGCTTCCATTAAGAAAATGATCTAGGGTGCTCACATAGTATCCGGGTAAATACGATGCTGTCATTTAAGGCTCATTTGCTGACATTCACAGCTGAAGGCAATCCCTGAACTCGGGGAAAGGGATTTTGCTGTTTTGTTCAACATCGTCTTCTCAACAAAAGCCTCTCTGAAGTGGCTGTCCCCCTCCAGAAACCGGCGCGCAGGCGCCGGCACGCACACGTGGACACACACTCTCACACGCGCCTGCCTACACCCCCTGCGTGTGACTCGCCTACGCGATTTATGGGCTTCTCCGGCACGGATTACTGTCAGGTGCAGAAAGCAGCCCTTTGTTCGGTGGGCATCCACCCCCCACACACATATGACTGTTATTTACGGGCCACGTGAGCACTGGGCTCCAGCCTGGCCGGCGGGGGGAGGGGCTCCCCTAGCGCAGGAGAGACAAAGGCTAGCCGAGTGTGGCCAATGCCACCTGGGGGCAACCCCTCCCCCCATCTCCACCCCACTCTTGTAACTCGGATGAAATCGGCCCCAGACCTGGCTCGGACTGAGACTCTTTGGAGAAACGTCGTGTCAAACCTTTTTAAAGCAGTTCTTGTTGGGAACTGAGGCCTGGTACCCGCTGGCTTCTAAACTGCGGCGAGCTCCCCCTCCCTCCAACAGCGAATTTGGCACCGGGTGTGGAGGCACCAGGGATACCTAGGACAGGGCCACCAATGCGGGCTAACGAGAGCAGAAGCATTAGATGTCTACTGCTCCCTTCCTCCCCCCCCCCCCGCCCTCCGCAGTAAGAGAAACCTGACCAAGTCCCCTTTCCCTCCTCACTGGTGCCCTCCCAGCCCGAGTAACCGAGACCCTGCCCCAGGCAGCCTGTGTCAGTCTGCTATTGTGGCTCCTTCCGGAGCCCGGATTAGTGTGATTACACACTCCAGGCATCAAGATTTAAGGTGCGATGGGAGCCACTAAAAATGGTAGCAACAAACTAATACACATGTAATACTTTACCTTTCTAACTGAAAAAAAAAAAAAAAGATGCATGAACAAAATTAAAAATTTAAGGCAGAAACATTGCAGTGCCATTTTGGAACCCGAGGTTAAAATGGAACCATCTCCACGGATAATCAGTGCCCCATACAGCCCACTGAACCCAGATCCGGGAGTCGGGGACTTCAGAGTACACGAGGAAAAGAGTAGGTAGAAGACCTTGAAAATGGGTGCTGAGGGCTGGGACTGTGCTCGGGAGAGCCGCTCCGCAGGGAACAAAGCAGAGGGCAAAAGTTGAGAGGGCTAAAGTGGGCAGGAAAGATCCGGAGGGTTCGGAGGCCCTCTTCCACCCGCGACCTGAAATGGAATACTGGTCTTCGCCGCCACCAAGGCCGCGAGCGAACCCCGTAATTCCCTCGTTCGGTGATTAATTCTTGCTAACAAGACTTGGCAAGATCTCGGCAGAATAATTTTTGGCTTTTGTAAGGTCCCCACCGTGTGCACGCAAACCTCCCCTCTTGCCAAAAGCAAACCTTGGGAAATTAAATGCCTCTGGCAAAGTAAAACCGGGGTGCGGATACTGTGACCTGGAAAGAGGGGATGCAGAAACTCGAATCGCCTCTGAGCTTATTAAATTTGTTTAAAAGGTTATTCTTTGCATCGACACTTTCCGGCATCTTCCTTAGCACCAGATGTGGACCCTAATAATCATTTCCTGAGAGGACAGTTCGCATGTGACCGAGAGGGAGGGGAGGACTTCCTGCGAAGAGGAAAATGTCGGGGTGTCCTCCCCTCCCCAACTACGGTTAAATAAACATGTTATAGGAAGCTTGGGCCCAGTTCTCCAGCACACACACACACACACACACACACACACACACACACACACACACACACACACACACACCAACCATTCGGCTAATTAACGCCCCCCCTCTGGGTTGTAAAGTAACAAACTCTACACTTCTCTTTTGTCACTGGGCTTTGGCGCGAGGGCCTTCGCTTTCATCTTCTAAGCCCGGGTTTGCCCACGTTCCACGGGAAGCTATAAACCTGAAATAATAGGCCAGGATGGAAATCGATCACGCTAATGTAAAGACCAACGTCTGGGGAATCGCATTAAAAACAAAACGAAGCACAACCGGCAGGACCCCAAGAGCAAGGTTAAGTCCTGTGAGAGGAGGTCCCAAGCTCTGCGGGTGGCAGCCACACAGCGCTCTGGTCCACAGAGCTGCTGAAGCGATAACTAGAAGACTCCGCGGCAGGGAGGGGGGAGGAGAACGCAGAGGCGAAGACCTCTAGCCTGAGAGCCCAGGCTTCGGTTAGGCCGGCGTTGCCACTCGCTGCCATCTCTGCGCGGACGCCGCGCTCGGGGGCCAAGGAAGGACAGGGAGACGCGCCGCAGCTCCATTCACAAAGTCCGGGAGCTGCCGGCTCGCGGGCGGGTCGGAGGCTGCCTCCTTTTTTCTCTAGGTCTCGCTTTTATGAATGGGCCTGGCAGCGAGCACCGAGCGCCCTGTTTACTCCTCTCTTTGTGACGTCGAGTTCCCGTGACTGGGTGCGAGGGGGCCGGCGCTCCATTCACGAGCTGGGGTGGGGGCGGGGCTGGGCGGGGAGCTCGCGCGGGGGGCGGGGCCTAGCGAGGTAGTAATGACTCTTCCCTCCCCAGGGAGAGCCGGCGAGCATTAATAAATCTCTAAGCCGAGGAGGAAACTCTGGCTGGGGCAGTGCGCGCGCGGCTCCGGCGGGGTGTTGCGTGGAACAGCGGCGCCCGAGCGGGTGGCGGCAGGAGCAGCCCAGCTAGCAAAACACAACTAGAGGCAACAAACCGAGGGGAGCCCTCTTCGTAAACACACTCCCCTCCTCGGCCACTTTACCCCTCGGGGGTCCCGTGCGCCTGCCTGCTTTGGAGCCGGAGAAGGCTCCGACTGCTATGTAACGTCGAGGCTGCGGGAGGAGGAAAGAGTGAGGGAAGAAGAAGAGGTTGGGGCTAAGTTTGCGGCCACTTCGATAGAGCCCTTGCCTGCTCCTTCCTGTAGCCTAGTTGGCCTAGGTGCCCTTGGTCTTCTCCAGCTCCCCTGCTGCTGCGCTTCCCGGCGAAATGGTGACGATGGAGGAGCTGCGGGAGATGGACTGCAGCGTGCTCAAAAGGCTGATGAACCGAGATGAGAACGGCGGCAGCGCGGGCGGCAGCCACGGCGCGCTGGGGCTGCTGAGCACCGGCAAGTGCCTGCTGCTGGACTGCAGACCATTCCTGGCTCACAGCGCGGGCTACATCCGAGGCTCGGTTAATGTGCGCTGCAACACCATCGTGAGGCGGAGGGCCAAGGGCTCGGTGAGCTTGGAGCAGATTCTACCCGCCGAAGAAGAAGTGCGCGCCCGCCTGCGCTCCGGCCTCTACTCGGCCGTCATCGTCTACGACGAGCGTAGCCCGCGCGCCGAAAGCCTTCGCGAGGACAGCACTGTGTCGCTGGTCGTGCAGGCACTGCGCCGCAACGCCGAACGCACGGACATCTGTCTGCTTAAAGGTAAACGTGGGCTCCCTGGCGCGAGCTGATACGGGTAGGTGTAAGGGACTTGGAGGTCTGCGCCCCGCTGGGTATGGGAAGAAGTACCCGAGTGACATCGGGCTGCGGGAGACCCCGTGCGTGTTAGTGCACGGGGTTGCTGTGGTTTTGAGGCCAAGTCTGTGGGGGGGGGCGGGAGGGCGAGCTGAAGGGTTTCTCCAGCCCACCTGCCAACCGTATACTTCCTAGAGTTATAGTGTTTCTTGACAAGAACGGTCCTGGCCTGGATGTTGGCTGCGATCCCTCTGCGGAGCCCAGCTTTGAGTGCTGAGAATGCATTCTGAAGTCCCACAGGGACAAGAGAGGCTTGTTGGTTCGGTGTGACCCCCGAGAACCCTGGAAAGGAATGAAGGAAAGTGAACGCCAAGGTGGGATCTGCCTCGAGAGTTCGCACACAGTCCTGCCTTTGGCAAATGCAGAGAGGAGAGTTGGGTTGCCGAGCTGGGGAGCGTTCTCATCTATCTTCCGCTGCCCCAACTCAGAGCTTTTCTGGGAAGCGCCAACTCTCCTGCCCTGGGCTCCTGGAGCAGGGAGACGAGTGCTGTATTGGGACACCAGGCAGAACCGCGCCTCCTCCCGCTAATCCGGGTAGCGGAGAATCACCACCTTTTGTTCACACACCATTCTCGACTCTGCTGGCGGCGCGTGCCTGGTCGAAGCGAACCCTGGCCTAAATAGGTGGCCGGAGAGAGAAGGTCTCAAATTTATAAGCCAGATTACCCCCCCCATCCAAAAAAAGGCCGCACACTGTTCCAGTTCCTGGAGAAAGGGACCCATGGCTCGCCGCACCTGCCAGCCCGGCGGCTGTGCCCGCCTCTGGCCGCGGAACCGGCTGCGAGCGCAGGGGCCGGGCGCCCCCTGCCGCGCTGCGCCCCAACCTCCGGCCGCCGCATTCCGCGCATTCTTTCGCGCGGGTCGGGTCTTCGCTTTTGAACCCGGGAGGTATTTCGGGTCTCCGCCTGCCAAGAGCCGCCCCTTTCCCTTTCGAGGCTCTTTGCCCCCTCTTGTACACTTGTCTTCCCGGAAGCTATCCGCAGTGAGGAAGGGAGGCTGGGGGAGAAACCTTTCCTCCGGTGCCCTCGGAAAAGCCCGGGGAAGCGGCTGGGTGCGGGCGAGCAGGGCTGGCTCTGCAGAACAGCGGGGGGCTTTGTTCTCTGCAGTTGTTTCCTGACCATTTGACCCGTCAGCTGCTGGGGGAAACGCTGCTGTTGACCTGAGGCTCAACTGCTAAGGCGATTTTGCTTACTTTCCTTTTACACGAGGGCCGCCTTTTGCTCCTCCAGGGGAGTCCTAGTCTTTCAGACTTCCTAAAACCTTTTAGGAGCTACTGCTGGGAAGACTCGTCCCGGATCTCGCCCCGGGTCAGGCGCAGGTCCTGTGACCTCCCCTCCGAGGGGTCCTACTTGGACCCCAGGTTGCACGTCTGTGCTATTGTTCCAGCCAGCCTGCTCTCCGAATCGAGATCGCGCGGGTGGGAAAGGTGAAATTGTATTGGGGTGGAAGTCCCCTGGGGAGCCCAGGCTGTGTTGGGTTCCCTCAGCCCTTGGATTGAGAAAGCCAGGGCGACACCTTCCTACTCTGTCTTCGGGAGCATATAAACCCCACGTGCAGTCAGGGATTGTTTTGTTTTTCTTCCTGGAAAAAATTCGTAGGGGACCGCCCTGGAGAGGCAGCTGCAGGCCTTCGTCCTGAGCCCTTAAGGCTTCCTTCCGGTCTGCAGGCCTGGCGCCTAGGGAGGGAAGCTTATTTTTAAGGTTAAATGTCATGGCTCCCAGCACCCTACCGGTCCTGATTGGCATCCGGAGGCCAAAGCAGTTCTGTAAATGCTTCAGGGCAAATGTTGACGTAAGACCAGGACAGGACAGGTGGCCTCTGGGCAAAATGACAGTCCCCTCCCTAATGGGTGGCCAGATAGATGCCTGACCTACAGAAAGACATTTCCTTCAAACATTGCTTGACTGATCTCTGCCTCCCATCTCCTTCCCTTGTCGTTTGGCTTTATTAGGCAGGGAAGATTACCTCAAAAGCCAAAGTCTTCTGGCCCTGGCCACAGGCCTGGACTGCTTTGTTTTCATCTGTTCAGGAACAGCTGCTACCCTAACTTTATTTACCACCACCCCTAGCCTGAAGTTAAGCATACTGCCCTTGGGAGCAAGAGGCTAAAACGAGGGTGGCGGAATGTTTGCTGCCCCTTGTTCTGTAGAGGTGGCAGAACATCTGTCTGCCAGCCATAGTTTCTGTGGATGACATACCCAGCCACGACCGAGTCCCCTTTCCTCCTCTCTGCTAGCTGTTGACTGGCCTTGGTAGAGAGGGTAGTAAGAAAATGTCTGCTGTAGGAAGGAACAGTCAAGGGGACTAACACCCCCCTCCCCCCCAGCCTGTGCCTGTCTGGAAGATAAAGCTTGGTGGTAGAGAATCATGGCTTAGAGACCTGGTAGGTTTGTTCTTGGCTGTTCAAGGCATAATTTGGCTCAGCTGGGTAATCAGGGCCTCCTGCTGGTCGAGCGAGGGGGCAGACAGTGAGCAAGAGGAAGAGAAAAATGGTAGGTGCCTGCCATCCTTGCGATGGTGAGACAAAAGAATGGTTTCAGAAATGATGTCCTTCCTGGCCTAAGCAATCCATCAATTTGTCATCGGCTACCCCCTCCCCCCCAACTAGTTGCCTTTAAAAGAAACGTTTTCCATTTTTTTGGTCTCACTTAAAAAGGATGATTGGTTACTTATTGTCTGTAGTTAACAGTGGATTTTCATAAGTAAGGGGTTCAAAAGCAGGAATTAAACCTCACTGAAGTATTGTTAGCTTTGTATATTTGCTGCTATTGATCAAGGTTTGCTACCAGTTAAGCAAAATCTTAATGTTTCCTTTTTTGCTAGTAAAAATCATGGGAAATACTTTAAAGTGGTGGCACATGCCTTTACTCTTAGCACTCAGGAGGTAGAGTCAGGCGGATCTCTGTGAATTCAAGGGCAGCCTGGTCAACAGAGTGAGTTCCAGGTCTGTTTCATAGAGAAACTCACTCCAAAAACTGAAAAAACCAAAAAAAAAAAAAAAAAAAAAACCCTTTAAGGCATTTTAGGGACAATTACTAACATTTTTAAGTTTTACAGATTTTTATCTCAGTATACATCTTTCAGATTCTTTCCCTCCATAAATGTTTGGGGTCTAGTTTTAGAAATGCCTGGTAGTTAAAAGACAGAAGAAATTTCTTATCCTAATGGCAATAGTTCTTTCCTGCCAGTATCCCTAATGTCACACATTAATATCTCCCCCCCCCCTCACACACACACACACACACCCAGATTTCAGCCTGGTGTGGTGGATGTCTATGATCTCAGTAACTAGGAGGCTAAGGCAGCTGGATTACAACTTGACTAGCCTGCTCCGCACACAGGACCTTTTTCTAACAGTTTCATCTTCCTTCTGTCTAGAATTTATCTTGTGACCTCAGTTCTTATTCAAACCTCATTGCAAAATTATCCAGGGGGCTCTTGTTTTGAATGCCTGGGCTAGTAGTCATCTAGACATCTTACTTTCCCCTCTTGGTTAAAACTCACCTGACCTTGGGTCTTTGATCTTGCCCTGACTTGAGTGGGGAGGGAAGGAAGGGGTTGGACCTCATCCAGGACTCTGCTGGTGCCTGCTGATCTCTTCTCTGTTCCTATCCCCAACTATCCCTGTGCCATCCCAGGGTATAGCTCAGGGGCTTGCCTGCATTTCCTACCTTCTATACCCAGAGGGAGAACAGTGGACTTTTTCTGTTTGTAAATATAACATAGTGTCCCAGAGGCAAAGATAGGGAATGTTAAAATTATAAAATTGATAGCAAGAAATCCAAGCCTTAATGACATTGTTACACCATTACAATGCAGACTAAAAAGGTAAAAGACAGGTCGGAGGCATCCATGGAGTTTCTCCTTGATCTTTAAGATTGTTGGAGCTTCTTATCTTATAGGAAAAGGTGGTCATTAAAGAGCCAAGAAATTCCTGTAGATACTCAGAACCTGAAAAACTGGATAGCTATTCTCCTTACTGAGAGAGACAGTTCCTGGCATAAGGAACATGGCCGGAAGACAAGTAACAGGCCAGCCTGCTGGCCATAGCAGATAGCATGGGAGGACAGGGAAGGACTTTGAGAAAGAGCTATCCCAGAAGCGAAGCCTTAGGGCATTTAGCTAGCTGCCTGGCCTGGGAAGGACAGGCTCTCTGACTCAAACCTACTTAGGTAGGGACAGTCCGATGACTGCTATTAAAGTGAGGTTCCCAAAGGCATCTGACCTTAAGACAACCTAGAGTTCCTCTCTGGGGCCATAGCATGACCCAGGCTCAGGTGGTATTCTGAATATTGATTGAAAGGATGATAGGGAAAAAGTGGCAGTCTCATTAAGATCCAAGGTCATAGTCTCCACCACAGCAACTCCCCTCTAGGAACCTTATTGTGGTGGTATTACCAGCACCTATCAGCTGGCCCTTACAAAGCACTTTCACATACATTATTTAGATATCCACTCCTGCATGGCCTGGTAGCCAACTGGAGTGGAGAATTTATGACTAGGATGCCCGGTGTTTGTAATTTATATATACTCTGAAATGCTTTGTTATGAGTATAAAAGAATTGGGAGGGTCATGGAGCTAACTGGGGATATATGTAGTTGCCTGCTTGCCCTGTGAAGGCCATGCCTAATTTTCCATTCCTGACTTACAGGTTGAAAGACAATAAGCAGGGGAATAAGTTCTTTATTATTTTTTCCCCTTAGTGCAAGGAACTCAGCTTGTTGTTTTACATGTGCTTAGTAGGCACTCAACCATTGAACTACAATCCCAGCCTTAAGGAAGTGTGTTCTCAAATAATTAAGGACTTAAATCTGTTAGGCTATTACATTCCATAGGATATAGGAAAAACAGGTAGAAAGTTGTTGGCATATGTTAGGACATTTTTATTTAGAAGATGCCCAGTGCTTTGGATATATCTAGACTGACAAGGTATATGGCATCATGCTTGGCTTCCATTTACTTGGACATGTGCAGGGAAAGCCTGGCCCTATTGTGTATGGTGGAATGAGTTTTTGATTGACCATATGGTACCTGTACAAAGATGGGGTTCGCTAAGAGGGCCTGATGGAAAGATCTTTTCAGGTAGCTTTGCCTACATACTGTAAGATGTAGCACTGCCCTGATGGATTACAGGTGTCTCATACCTGTAATCCCAGCACTTGGTGAGTGAGAAGTCTCAGGCAGGAAGATTGCCATGAGTTCGAGGCTAACCTGGACTACACAGTGGGACCCTGTCTCAATAAAACCAGGTATGTTAGGTTTTATAGCATGATCAAGAAGAGTTACATGTACCCTAGTGGACATTCCTCAAATTCACACACTTTAAAAACAAATGCAACACATTCTACTACTCAGTTTGCTTCTTTGAAGTGTGGGTCATGTCTTCTAATGCTCACTGGAGATTCCCGGGTCTGTGCAAGAGCAGAGGGCCGAGGGCTGGCAGCCATACTCTTTGGGATCTCTTTTGTGCGAGTGACAAGTCTTACAGCACACCTGGGGAAGTCAGGAGCATTTCCAAGGGAAAGGCCATGTGAATGGACAGAAAAGGTTCCTGATAAGTCTGGCATCAAGACTGCCTGGCCTGAGACCCCAGGTGGTTGGTTTCCTTATCTGTTAACACTGACACTCTTCATGTTTTCCTATGGGCCATTTGGCACATAGGAAGTACCTCCCATTTGGGGCATCTAGCTAGTTTTCAGTTCAGGTATCATCCAAAAGTCTCAACAGAGGCATGGCAGTGTAAGGCAAGGACTTAATGGTTTCCTCCTCCTTGTAAGCCAAGCTCACTTGTGCTTGCCCTTCTGCACAGCCCTCACTTTGTCCTCGAACAGCCACAGCTACCTATAGCCAGCAGCTCCTCTCCTAAGGTGCCTGTGCCAGGCAGGATAATCAGTTTGCCAGGAACTCCGTGCCAGAGGAGGTTAAGCAGTTCTTACGGACTAGGACCGGGAGGCTCAGAGGTTAGAACACGACAGTAGCAGGGTGCACAGTAGATGACACGGAAGGCTGAGATGTGACCTGTCTGCAGAGCCCATGTCCCTTGTGGATCTTCAGGCTGGCTGGACCCAGGCTGGCTGGGAAGGGTGGGGATGTTTCCTCAGGTGCTGTCTGTGGAGGGTCCCGCTATTCTGCTTTGGAATCTAGGTTCCAGTGGGCGCCCCATCATTTATTTATTTATTTGTTTGTTTATTTGTTTATTTTTGAGAAAGGTTTCTCTGTGGCTTTGGAGACTGTCCTGGAACTAGCTCTTGTAGATCAGGCTGGTCTCGAACTCACAGAGATCCACCTGCCTCTGCCTCCCGAGTGCTGGGATTAAAGCCGTGTGCCTCCAACACCCGGCCCCATCCTTTATTTTTAGGTGAACCTGGATGAACGATCCTGACTCCTGGGTGGGAAGCTTTTTGCTAGGAATCACTGGTAACTTCACTCTTACTTAAATGAATATACATAGGCAAAGAGATAGAAACTTGGAAGTCTTACAGAAGAAGTACACAGAAGGACAATTGGTCTTTATTGATGGAGGTGTTCATCCAGTCCGCTTTCCCTAATGGGGGCCATGGACCCCCATTGGCAGAGCCCAAAGGCCTATGGTGATAGACCTTTATTTTACCATCACCCCTCGGGTTCTCATCTTTAACCTTTTGGATTTGCTTTGAGAAAAAGGGTTTATGATGTGGGGGTGCCCTGCCCCTTGGGTACTGTGGCCTCTGAGGCCACAGACACATCCATAGCTGGCAGCACCAAGCATGCAGGCTCCCCACTCTGGAGGCTGGTCACTGTGACTCAGCAGGAAGAACTCTGACCACAGAGAGGGAGCGAGCAGAGGGCAAGCAAAGCCTCCTGTCAAAGAGGGAAAAAAAAAAAAAAAAAAAAAAAAAAAAAAAAGGATGCCCTGCTACTGAAACCCTTGTGATATGGCTAAGAGATTTCTCCTTTCTGTCAGAAGCAGCAGGAAGCAGTTTTCTAGGGTTGGAATTTAGGAGCCAAGCACTTGACTAACCAGTCACATGTCAGCCCTTTGCCAGTTACTGTCATCCAGCAAGTCCAGGCATAGGGCTAGCCACTTTTGATCACCTACCGTTTCAGCCAGTTGTATGGGTCTGTCCATGAGAGGTTAATCCTCGACATGTAGGCTCTGTCGAAGTGGTATAGTTCATGGGAGCTGCTCTCTGTCCCTCCTGGCTGTGTTGGTCCTGCAGGCCACTAGGGAATGAGAGCTGTTCTCTGTCCCTCCCTGTGGCTGCCCCCCAGGCTCTTATGGGACAACATCCAGCTATCTCAGACAACTGGTGCTATCTTTTTGTTACAAAACCCTTCCTTCCTTAGAAGATGAGTTGATAAACTTTTCAGGGATCATCCATACTCAGGTCAGAAAATCCTTTCTTGCCCCTAACCTTTGTGGCCGAAGGGGTTTGTGTATGGAAGCCGGTTTTCCTCGTGTTTGTGGCCCTGTTGGCAGAGACAGTGAAGTTGGTATCTGCTCTAACTCAGACTCTGAAGGGTGTTGTGGTGTCCACCCCTCCCCCCACCCCACTCCCATTTCTTCCCATATCTGAGAAAGGCCTGGCACTGGTCATAACAGATGGGAGCCCTCAGCAGGCCAAGGACACAACTGGCTGGCTTCTGAAGTGCTCATGGGTCCCTCATGGCATGTGGTACACTAGAAAGTCCCTCTGGCATTGTTGTACATCTTCCTTTGTGTATTTTTATCTGAAATAGAAGCTGTAACGAAGTCCCCAGCATCCTTCCATCCTCCATTCTGTCCTCTGACCAAACAAATCTGAGACATGCTCCACAATTTTATCTGTAGACCCACAGCGCCACTTAGTGGCACACACCGACCCAACAGCTCTCCTTGTCCCTTGCTTCCTACTGGTTGGCTGGTTCCACCTACCCAAACCACTCTTCTCCTTTGCAGGTGGCTACGAGAGGTTTTCCTCTGAGTACCCAGAATTCTGCTCTAAAACCAAGACCCTGGCAGCCATCCCACCACCTGTGCCCCCCAGTGCCACGGAGTCCTTGGACCTGGGCTGCAGCTCTTGTGGGACCCCACTGCACGACCAGGTAGGTGTAGTAGTATCCTGGGCAGAGTTCAAGTCAGGTAGTGCAGGCCTCAAACACAGCTCCTTCATTTGAAGACAGCGTGGTGAACCTCAAGTATCATGGTGGGATTTTAGGACAGGTGTATTTATTGCTAGGAATCCTTTCTTCTGTCTCTCTTATTATCTCTAGTTAAGGGACAACAAAAACAAAAACAAAATTTACAAAGCTACTTCTGGCTTAGCCTCTATTTTGTTTTGAGACAGGGGTCTGCCTTTGTAGCCCAGGCTACCCTTGAACTTGTTAGTCTACCTCAGATCCCTGGCACTGGAATTACAGGCATGTGCAGGACTTGGGATAATTGCTAGGCTCCTATGACAGCCAGGCTCTCCCTCACTTCCCAGCAGACTTTGAGTTCCAGCCATGTTCCCAAAAAAGTCAAGCCCATGCCCACCCACCTTTCCAGTCAGATGGCCTGGGGATGAAGTCAGAGTCCACCATTTCTGCCCATAGATCTTAATCACATGTTTAGGATATCATGCCTGCCATGATCTCTCTCTTGTCTGAGACATCTCCCGTTTGGGTTAATTGTAGACATGGCAGACTTTTTAAACATCCCCACATGACACACACACATAATTCAATAATTCATTAGCAGGGTAAACTTCTGGCGTGGCTGAGTGTGCCACACGGTCATTGTGCTGCCTCCGTTGTCATGGGAGGCTGGGTGGTACCCAGGAGACCTGATAATACCTTGCCTCTGCCCCTTGGAGTCCCATTGACCCCAAGCCGGGAAGGAGGAGCCAGAAAAGCTTTACCCATCAGGTTTCCTTTGTAGGCCCTAGGAAGCCCATTGGGCTGTCTTACTGTCTCTAGAGATTCAGTACATCAGCCCTTGTCCTGGTTGCCGGACACTCATGTTTTACTGGGGGTCTTTGTGTTTCTTTTCGGTGTAGGGGGGTCCTGTGGAGATCCTCCCTTTCCTCTACCTCGGCAGTGCCTACCATGCTGCCCGTAGGGACATGCTTGACGCCCTGGGGATCACGGCCTTGCTCAATGTCTCCTCGGACTGCCCCAACCACTTTGAAGGACATTACCAGTACAAGTGCATCCCAGTAGAAGATAACCACAAGGCTGACATCAGCTCCTGGTTCATGGAAGCCATCGAGTACATTGGTAGGCTGCCTACCCTCTCTCAGGGTAGTGAGGGGCACCCCGGGGCACTGCAGGTGGGAGATTCAGTTATTATTTGCAGGCTAGAACTCCTCTTGTATTGCTTACATTGCTATGACCAAATACTTGGAAAAAGCTACTTCAGGGGGGGAATTGATGCAATCCATCACCGTGAGGATGGCCTGGTACCAGGAGTATGAAGCAGTTGTAACACACCTGCCGTTGGGGAGTACAGAGAGCTTAGGAAGTAGGGCAAAGTTATCAGACCTTAAGACCTGCCCCTAGTTATTAACCCATTTAATTCTCCAGCGTGGCCGCCTTTCCATAAGGCTTCACAGCCTTCCCAAACAGTTCAACCAGCAACACTGAGTACATGAACCTGTGGGATTCTAATAAAAATGACCACCCTTCAAGGGGGACTTGTGTGCCCTGGGAATTGGAAGCCGTTACCCATGCCTGGCTACAGCACCACCTTGTATGGTTTCACATGTGTACAAAGACTTATGTGTGGAGAGGAAGAAGAAAGTAGATTTGAGCCACTGTTCTCTTTGGTCTAACTGGCTCTACGTGTGTTTTCCCTGGGTGTGTACTTTAAAAATACTTTGTTGTTAAGTCTGGGAAATACTGGAGTTAGGTCCTCAATGTAGCAGGGCTGTCCTGTTCCGTGGGTGTGCCCCTCATCCACCTATGTATCTCGACTTCCCCACCCACCACTGTGTCCTGGCTTCTGCCACATGCACTGGTGGTGGTGGGTGCCCGACGTCTCCCAAGGGCCCTAATCGTGTCCCACTCTGCTTCAGATGCAGTGAAGGACTGCCGAGGCCGAGTGCTGGTTCACTGCCAGGCGGGCATCTCCAGATCAGCCACCATCTGCCTAGCCTACTTGATGATGAAGAAACGTGTGCGGCTAGAGGAGGCTTTCGAGTTCGTCAAGCAGCGCAGAAGCATCATCTCGCCCAACTTCAGCTTCATGGGGCAGTTGCTGCAGTTCGAGTCTCAGGTGCTCACCACATCCTGCGCTGCTGAGGCTGCTAGCCCTTCTGGGCCCCTGCGGGAGAGGGGAAAGACCACGCCCACCCCCACCTCACAGTTTGTCTTCAGCTTCCCCGTGTCTGTGGGTGTGCACTCGGCCCCCAGTAGCCTGCCGTACTTGCACAGCCCTATTACCACGTCCCCCAGCTGTTAGGGCTGGTCTCTGAACACCAAGTCCAGGCTTGGCCCCCAGCCAGGGATGTACAAGCCACATACTGGCAGCAAGTAGGAACTGACCAGTGGGGGGGGCAGGTGACCATGTTCCACCCCCATCCATTTCTCTCTGGCTAACCACAGAGCCAGCTAGAATGGCAATAACGACTTTGAATACACCTTAATAGCAAACAAACAAAACACTCCAACCTAGAGCAATAACGGCAGCATCTGCGGCCAGGGAAGACAGGTTTATGTGTCCGTTTTATTTTGCAGGTAGAAAGGTAGAAATTTACCTCATTTTTTTTTTTTTTTAAAGCAGTAAGGCTTGAAGTTATGAAATCCAGAGATCCTGGCAAGTGTGTTCAATCAATTTTATTAAGTGGTGAGGGAAAGAGGAGAAAACAAGTTTGCTGGAAGTGCCTGGCTGAACAAGCGTTCTTCTATTTACAGGAATTTTGTTCTAGATACATCCAGGCCACAGTATTCACTTCTAATTAGTCACCAACTGGATAATTATGCTTAATGAATATTGGAGAACTTCAGGATGTATGAACAGGAGCCTGTGCCGTAGATTTAGAATGTTTTTCTGTTGGTCACAGTAGAGCACAGGAACACACAGGTGTGCTAGCAGCGAGGAAGGGAGTGGTTTTTTGGGGTTGCCATCTAGCAGCAGGCTGGGTGACAAACAAGCAAGAAAAGGCCTGTGGTTGGTCACTCTTACAGGTGGCCCCTGAGCGCAGTGCTCCAGCCATGCACGCTTTTCTCCAGTGAACCATTTGGTGGTAGCTAGAGCGTTCTTGCAACTTGCCCAGGAGTTGGATATGGTCTGTGATAAATGCCATATTTTAAGAGGTGCTCCTGGAAACGTGGGTGCATTTCAGATTCTCCTATAGCAAATCACTTGACAAGGCCCAGTTCACTAAAGATGACTGAAAAATAAATTATTTTGTAAGTTGAAGTGTACCATTCTCTTTGGTAAATTGGAGTTGTCAGTTTTAGGAATTTACTTGAAGTATACCAAGAAATTCTTGTTGCTAAATCCCTGTGGTAGAGTGAATACTTTGAAAGGCCCTCTATTTAATAAAAAAGATGGGTGTCTGCCGTGACTTGGAGCTCCTTCAAGTATAGGAAGTGGGGAGCACCAGTGGGGTGGGAGCTGGCTGCTGGCTCTTGTGAAGGGCATCCTGGGTGACTTGGCCATTTGGGGTTCCGGTTGGGCTAAGGCCACTTATAAGGAGCCTTTCCAAGAGGAGGAATGGCTTTGGAGGAATAAGTGTTTTCTGTGGGGAAGGCTTGGGATGGGGTGGGGGAGGGGACATGTTCCGTCTGTAGTTCTGGGTGGGGAACATTATTGTGGAGTGCCAGATAAGTCACTGCAGGCTTGTTGGGAATGAGTGTTTTTCCCCTTTGAGAACCTGGATCTCCCTGAGCATTCCTGATCATATATAAATAACTGAAAGCCTCCATGTCACAATCACGGTGGAATGCTCTTTCCTCATCCAACACCCCAGATACCCTGGGTTCATTACATTTCTTTCCGTGAACTGTGAACCTGTGCTGGCATGACTTGTATTGGTGGCCCTTGTCAAACTCTGCCTTTGAGTGAGTCCAGAGTCCTCGCATCCTGTTTTTAGAAAAAGGAGGGGGCCCTGCTCCCCTGACTCTGCTGCTTTGCTGAAGGCATGAAGGGGCTGAACTCCCAGATGGTGGACCCTCGCTGGATGGGCCTACATCTTCCCCTGCTTCCTGGTAGCTGCTTCACATTTGCTGAAGAATTAGATGAGTTTTGTAGCTAGACAAGTCTTGGGTTCCAAGAAAGTAAGGGCTTCTGGGGGGCAGATAAATAGCCTTTAGAGGACTTCTCTTTTTATATGAGTATGTTTGCCAAATGTGTCCTAGTTCCCAGACTGGATCCCAACCACATGGGCAGTGGGAGCTCCAGATGTCTGTCCCCTGCTTCCTAATTCAAGCCTTCTATGACAATGTCAAGAGGCTATATATAAAGTCATTTTCTTTGTACTTGATAACAGCATGAGACCCAAAACTCTTAGAAAGAAAATAGGACATTGGTTTGATGGGGGGGGGGGGGGAAAGAGGGGGACCTAAAAAACAGCTATTCTCTCTCCAGAAGCCTCTTTGATGGCTTGGAATAGCTCTAATGAAGACCCTGTCCTAGGGTCATTCCAAATGGTTAGTTTCAAAAACAGCATCCTGTCCATGAACTGATTGCTAGTGTTGAAACAGTTTTGGGTGGCAAAAGCCATTGAATATTTGTCAGAATGAGGAACACTCCCAGTTCTCCCCAGGAATCTTGTTTCATCCGTGTGTGTGTGGGGGGGGGGGAGGGGGGGCAGCGGGAAGGTTGAACACAGGTGAGCAGTAACAGCTGCTGTCAGCGTCATTCTCCCCTGCTACCTGTGCTTGGCTTTCAGCAAGGTTAGGGAAGCCATGAGAAGTGATTTAGAGCCCTTGGAAAAGTGGCAAGAGGGAGGGAAGACTGGGATTTAATCCCAAGGCTGTGGACATGAAACCTGTGGGAATGATAGTTGATACTGGTTGTCTATCACAGTCACCTGGGCAACCCTTAAAATCCTCATATCCGTGTGACCCTTGACCAAGTAAACTAGGACTCATGTGGGTGGGATCCAGACACCAATATGTTATAATGTTCCTAGGTGCTTTTGGTGTGCAGCCAAGTTTTGGGGATGCCATTGCTTCTGGATGGTGAAACAAATTCCCATGGAGGTGAAACAGGAGCTACATCAGGGCCTTGTTACTGGGTCAGTGTGGTCCCACTATCCACAGCTGGCTGAGGGATGAGGTGGTTTCTTTTGGGGAGCCCGAGTGGGAGCTAACCTGTGGATCATTGTGAGTGGGCTCAATGTAGTGTCTGGGTGTTGATCTATTTCCTTAAACTTTGTCTCCATCAAGAAAGGTGGAGAGTCTGTGTCTGTTTTGAAACCCTCCTTTCAGTGCCCCTCCTGTTCCTTAGAGTTCATGAATCATCCAAGAGACTTCAGAAAGATAACAATGCAATACTTGTAACTTGTGTAAATAGCCCCATCTTTCTGAGTGGTGTCATTTCTACATTTGATATGCCTGTATTTCTGTAGGATGTACATAGTTTAGGGGATTTTTGTTTTTTAGAAGTCAAACATGTCTGTTTTTATTTATTGCTTGAAGAGATCATTTGAAGATAAAATAAATACATTTTCAACCATTTTTTGCTTTTGTGGACTCTCACTGGGACACATCCTGCTGTTAGAACTTGGGAGGGGAAGAAGGACCTGGGACCTCAAGCAATCATGCGAGACCAGCTGGGGAAAGCAGGGTTCTGAGAGGCGAGAGAGCTGGTTACTAGCAGAAAGAGCCCATGGGTATAGAGTGTTTCTCCTGCAAGGAGGTGACCATAAAGAGGGTTCAATGATGAGGCCTTTGTTAGCATCAAAACACAGCAAAGAGGGCTGACTGTAATAGAAGAATGTATAAGGGATTACTACACAAGGAGGCCCAGGGTCTGAGATAAGAATCAGACAACTGTACTGGTTTCACAGTTAGGACTATGGAAATAGGCAATTAGGTTTCAAGGCTAAGTTGAAATAAATAAGCTAATGTCTATGTAAAGCATGGTGCTGGAAGACAGAAGATCACACACACACACACACTATGTATATGTATGTGTATTATCAGATTCCATTGGTATGGCTTTCCCAAATTGCAAACTAAATAGTGAAAATACTTTCCCACTGTCTCAAAATTCTGAAAACAGTCAAACAAGATTTAACTACAAGACTGAAAAAAATTAAGTACCTTTCTTATACAGAAATGCCAAGTGAAGCAAACTTAAGAAAAAATAAGATCAATTTTACGATTTAAAGATAAAATGCCTACAATAAGCTGTTAGTAACAGGCAAGAGGTAATTTGTAGGAAACAGCATCTACTATGTTCATAGGAAAGGAGCTAGTAACAATTTACGATTTAAAGATAAAATGCCTACAATAAGCTGTTAGTAACAGGCAAGAGGTAATTTGTAGGAAACAGCATCTACTATGTTCATAGGAAAGGAGCTAGTAACAATGTGTAAAGTAACAATCTATCAACAGGACTTGGGGAGAACATATTTCCTTCAGAGGAATAAATAGAAACAAAAGTAACTCCAGGGAGGCAATGAAGTCTCAAGTCTGTTTTCTCTGCTGAGCTCACAGTACACCCAATGGCCCCCATCTTCGTCCCTGTGAGAGGAACTGGCTGGATTACCCAACCTAGGCCTCTTAGTATCTATTTCATGAACCTTAAAGATCTTCATTTATATGACCTCCTTAATGGGGTGGGGGATATTGCAAACTTTGTGGTGCAACAAGAGAAACGTTGGCTTTGAGGCAGAGGGAATGTTCCTGGATGGTGGAAAAGATGTCCTGGGGCTGTCCAGTTGGAAAGGGAACTCCTGGGGAAGAGACGGTTGGTAGGGAGGGAATAGATATATAGGTAAAAATTCTGATCAAGGGCTTAGAGACAAGGCAAAAAGGTCAGTTTCTCCAGTATTGCTATGAAGAGAGCCTTTAGTGCCTGAGTGCTTGTTGCCTAAAGGGTGCCCCCTATCCCCAGGATCCAGAGTGCAGGCAGTATGAGGTCTCCTGTGGAGAAGCCCACCTAGCCAGATAAAGCTCCACAAGCCCAGTGACCTGAGGTCTCTGGACCCCAAGGGCAGGAAAGAACCAACTCCACAACTGTTCAACACAACTGACCTAACTGCTGTAACACTGCATGCAGTAAGAGCTATACACTGAGAAGAAACATCTCGAACAAGAACACTAAAACAGCTAATGCACCATGCTTAGGGTGCATATCTGACTTTCTTCTGACCTTTCAGTTCATCAGCATTCTGCTCATCCATAAAACCAAAACACCGTACGTTCTCTTGAGTAAGTCAAGTAATTGCTGCTTTGAGCTTCTCCAGTCTTTAAACTCAGTAATTGATGTGGATAACATCCAGTGAATGGCGTGCTTCAAAAGCCACCATGGTCACATAAGAGCTCATGGAGACTTCAGTGTGCCTCTTTAAACCTGCACCTACCCAGTCAGCCCTCTCCCATCTTCCAATGATTCTTTCCTGTGATGGAGTGGGTCAGGATCCCTGCAGCACCCCAGTCTCAGGGAACTCCTTAGAACACTTGACCTATCACAATGGAGTTGTCTGAAGACACTCTAAATGTTTGTATCATCGTATCACATTATACAACACTATCACACGCAAGTACAACCATTAAACAACCTTTGCAGGCATTTAACAGAGAAGCAGAAGCAAATAGTATTAACAGAATTTGCCTTGGGATTCTGAGACTTCAGTGTATAATACACCCTGATTTCCTCCATGTTCAGCCTCTCCATAGCTCACAGTCCTGACTCACACTAGTTTCCTCATACTTGATGCTTTGTTTATATGCAGAATTAAAGTAAAGCCGATTGGCTGGCCCTTCTGTATAAATCAGTCCTATGCTAGGTGAAGAATGTCAAGAATCTTAATAAATCTAACTGAAACAAAACCAACATGCTCCACAGCCATCAACTTAGCTGAAGCAGTTGTAACTTTTGTTACTGCCAATAGATGTGTGTGTTCCTCTGGCAT